CTACTCACCCAAGAGGTGATTGCGAAGTGCTCATAATTATGTTACTTGGCCCGCATACTGTGTACTCATATTAAATCTGGCCCGCCTTGGCAAATGAGTTTGACACCCCTGACCTAAAGTCTTTGCGTTTATGTGCATTGATTTGTCCGTGAGAAACTCAATAAATCTACTTCTAGGTGTAAATAAGTTCTGAATTTCAACTAACTACAACTACCTTCAGCCATGCTCTGAGTATGAAGACATAATAATGCCTGAAAGTGATCCCTAAAACTGCTGAACTCAGCAATAACCTAACTTTTAACCCATTAACTGCTATCATTGTCTGGCTGATTTTGCAAAATCGTGCCATCATTGTCTTAGACAGCTGGCATTTGGCAGTGTGAATTTAAAGCTGTACACCAAAAATTGCACAAAGAATGGAAAGTTGATGATCAGTAGACTCTCTAGAGTGAGACACAAGTCTGGTGAGCTTCAGTCAACTTGCTATCATAGTTGAATGATTTGGAAATATTCATGCCTCATAACTTCCCTCACCCCGCTCCTGCTATCCTCAGTGGCCCCTCACCCACACCTATGATGCCACACCCTGGTAAGGGCTTACCACCCACTTTGCACCATAAAACCTCGCTGCTGCACCACTACAACCACCTCTTGCATCACAGCAACAACCAGTGCTCAGCAGTTGCCAGTTACTCTTCGCCTCACTTCATAGACTTAACTCACCACCCTTGATGAGTACAAAGTTTTTATATGGATTTATATCTTCAATTGCATAAAATTATTATTTATTTATTTATATATATATTTTGGGCGTTTGTGGAGTACCTTCTATTTCCCAAATAATGCAGTTATTGGGTTAAACCTAAAATGGCTGTACTTCATCAATAAAACCTTTAATCTTGCTTTCTTACCTTTTCCTCCATTGATTTTTTGCTTTTTTGTTGCTTTTGGTTAATCTCAACAAAGACTCAAGTGAACTATTTAAAATTCATTTACTAGTAAAACCTCGATAAATCGGAATTCGCTTTTTGGGACTCTGAGATGCTCTGGTCACCAAGGGGAGGAATTAAATAAAACAAAATCTGGTGAAATGAACAACACTTACTGAATACTGTACAGTGGTCTAATCAGATTTTATATAGGCCTACTGAGACACTGTAAGCAGACGGGTTGATCAGGGTTCCCCCCCCCACAGGGACTAGCCCACCCGGGCACAGGTCACTGACCCACATTTGCTCCCAGATAAACATTCGTCTTCCACATAGTACAATATACGCCAACACTTATTTGTTCTTATTTTTATCTTCATAGTATACTGTACAGTTTACAGTTTTTCTTTATTCATAAGCAAATTCTCTGGTTACTAACATAAAACACTTCACAGTTAATAACAATCATCTTGGTGACATCAGTTGTTGACAACCAGACTTATATATCTGATCTCCAACTCGGAGAGTTGTTTTATACTTTTATTTAATTTTTTATTGTTGCTGTAATACAGGTAGACCACCTCATATCCGTCAATCAGTAATCCAGTTCCACCGTTGGTTCGGATTTAATTTGGCCACCGTAATTTCAAATTTCGCACTGGTCTCCTCGCCAACCCGCTGCTACTGTTATGGTGGCCCCACTAGCAGACTCGGCTGTTGGCACGGTGTTTGAGGAGCGGCAAGTTATTCCTCTGTGCTTTTCTTTATTTATTATTATAAACTGCTCTTATTTAGCCCCAGTCTGTCTTCATTGAATAAAGGAAATGCTTCTTGTGGTGTAAAGTGCAAACACCATACGTTGTCTATACAAGATAAAGTTGAACTTCTCAAAAAACTAGACAGTGGCATGTCTGTTTGCAGCATATGCGACTTGTATAACATTGGCGTTTCCACAGTGTATGACATAAAAAGACAGAAAAGAAAGCTGCTCCAGTTCTTTGCTGATAGTGAATCAAAGAAACAGATGTCCATAAGGAAAACATTGAAATATGGAAGATGTTCACAGCTAGATAAAGTTCTGATAAAGTGGTTTAAACTCCGCGTCAGTGAAGGTGCGGAACTGTCCGGGGAGATGGTGAGGGAGCAAGCAAAATTATTTCATGCAGAATTAGGAATAGATTATGCGTGTGATTATATTGAAGGGTGGCTTCAGCGGTTCAAGCAGCGACATGGGATAAAGTTTCGTGCAGTGTGTGGTGAAAAAAGGTCGGAGAGGTGGTTATGAAGTGGGCTAGAGGTGTTTATTAATTTAATCCTAACCTAACCACCTGTGGTTTGGTAAAATCACTAATCCGGCACTGCTCAGGTCCCAATCAGTCCTGATTTGAGATGGTCAACCTGTATTCTTTTAATAACCTTGTGATACACTTAAAGACCTTAGTTGTTGAAGTGCAGTAATAACATAACTGATTTTCTTTAAACAGTTCAGTTAAACAGTGTTATCCCCAACTTCCCCCATATTTGCTTCTCTCAGACTTTCGTATTTTTCGGATTGGGGTCTGCCCCAATTAGTTCGATTATCGAGGTTCTACTGTATAGTGCTTTGGCATTATGCTGAGAAATGCAGTGCTTGTCAAGTATAAGCCCATGGTTTTCACTTCAGAAACTTAAATGACTGCCCTTCATAGTAGCACAACAAATCAAACCGTACATCTCAAATTTTGGTTTCAAGATGTGTTTCTATTACTTATTTGTTTATATTTAATGTTGCTAGGTTGTGTGAAGTCCTCATCAGCATCACTATTTTACAGCTATTTTACAGCTATTTTACCCACTTTTTGGGGTCAGCCATGACAGGGAAAACTAGAGGAAATTTTGGGGTCATTGTTGAGGAAGGGGAACACAAACTAAACACATATGTCTCGGCACCTAACCCCAAACTGTGATGTCTCTCTTATGAGGCCACTAATAAGTATGACTGTGATGTCCCTCATGTGAGAACAGCCAATTTTAGCATTCATTAGGTGTGTGACATGTCCCAGTAGACCTCACACTATCTACATGTCCCAGTAGGCCTCCTCACACTATCTACATGTCCCAGGTGGCCTCCTCACACTATCTACATGTCCCAGTAGGCCTCCTCACACTATCTACATGTCCCAGTAGGCCTCCTCACACTATCTACATGTCCCAGTAGGCCTCCTCACACTATCTACATGTCCCAGTAGGCCTCCTCACACTATCTACATGTCCCAGTAGGCCCCTCCTCACTATCTACATGTCCCAGTAGGCCTCCTCACACTATCTACATGTCCCAGTAGGCCTCCTCCACACTATCTACATGTCCCAGTAGGCCTCCTCACACTATCTACATGTCCCAAGGCCTCCTCACACTATCTACATGTCCCAGTACACCTCACACTATCTACATGTCCCAGAAGGCCTCCTCACACTATCTACATGTCCCAGTAGGCCTCCTCACACTATCTACATGTCCCAGTAGGCCTCCTCACACTATCTACATATCCCAGTAGACCTCCTCACACTATCTACATGTCCCAGTAGGCCTCCTCACACTATCTACATGTCCCAGTAGGCCTCCTCACACTATCTACATGTCCCAGTAGGCCTCCTCAAATTACACATCTGTAGGACTCTGTTTCTCTCTCATCGTGGGAGATGCATGTTTATATCTGTTAGTGGTAGTCTGAGTAGATACAACACTCACCTCCTGTACCAGGCATTGGTGGTTTGATCCCCAGGCACTCCTAGTTCACCCAGCTGTAAATAGGTACCAAAGTTTACAACTTGGGGAGGTGAATGTGATCAAGAGCAGTACTGGCCGTGCTGCCTCCTTGTGTACCAATAGCTTGGTATACAGTGTGCTGTATCCATTCTGTCCCTAATGGACACTCACACCTTCAGGACCCACTTTTCACTTTCAGTGGCACTCTGCCCCCTGCCACCCCCCAGCTCTCACACCTCCCCACTACCCCAAGCTCTTCACACCTTCACACTTCCCCACAACCCCCAGCTCCTCACCCCCAGCTCTTCCCCCTCCCAGCTCTCCCTCCCAGCTCTTCCTCCCCTCCCAGCTCTCCCTCCCAGCTCTCCTCCCTCCCAGCTCCCTCCCCCTCCCTCCCTTCCCAACTCCTCACCTCTCCCCTGGTACCCCCCACCCCCCAGCTACTCCATCTCTCCCCACAATATGCTCACTTTAACACTCCACTGTATGTATATCTTTGATTTTGTTAAAATATAATATGTTTTTAAGATTATTATTATTATTATTTTTATTATTATTATTATTATTATTATTATTATTATTATTATTATTATTATTAATATTAATATTATTATTGTTGCACATAAAGAATGAATAGCCAGTATTTGCTCTTGATTCAGGCAATTGCACTTCTCTGAAATGCAGTACAAAATTTGCAAACATGAAAGTTCAGTAAATCTGGTGTCACGGGGAAGAGTAACTTGTGTGGGTAAAAAAATGGGATGAAACTAAAGAATGCCAGACTGTACATGGCCAATAATGAAGATCAAACAGTATAAACCTGTGTAATCTACTGCCTCTTTAAACAACTGATCTGTGTATATTAAGAGACCCATAAGTTATTTATAAGTTTACTGGATATTTATAAATACCTGTACAGTTATATCACAAGATTGAAGGTGTTTTGTTAACCACAGTTTCTAGTAGGGTTACCAAGTATAGTCCCAGTTGAAGAAAACTGAACACATAAAGTAAAACAGTAATAATATGATGATAGGGAAAATGGTAGCTGTATAAGAGATTGCTAAGGTGCATTATTTGAATACAGGTTGTTGACTACAGCCTGGCTGTAGGCATGGAGCCAGAAGTAAGAGCGTTTGGAGTATGATGAGAAATTTATGCACTGGTGGCCTGGCTGCATAATAGAGATTGCCTCTGCGATATAAATAAATTTATTAGTTTTTGCTCGGTAGAAATAAATTAATATATATCGGTAGTAAAATGTTGAGGTATGGGCATCTGCCTGCATAGACTTTAACTAGTCCTTAAGTAAGTCTCTCTCGCAGCAGTATGTTGATGAAGAGGGAGCCGCGGCCATGGCTGAAGAGCACCGCCGGCGTAAACACCGCGAGGTCAGTTTTTTTTTTTTTTTAGTTTAATTTGTTTATCCTTTGGTTCTAATGGTCTTACTCCTATTTCTTTTGTCTTAATTTAGTATTTGGTGTAAAATTACAGCATGGTTTATTTTCCTCTTTAATTTCTCGAAGCAGTTTTCATTTTTAATTAATCCTTACTAATTCACCTAAGCTAGTTTTGGTTAACGGAAAAAAATAACACGTGAACATTAAGTACTGACTAAGCAGATTATTGTGAAAATGCCTCGTTAACACCTGGGATATTTTTATGACAAGCTCCTTCACGGTACAGTATTGTATTTTGTTGGTGTTTCATCAGTATTTTCAGTGTGTAAACTTCCTAGTTGTAGACACCTCTATTTTACACTTCAGCTGACTATTACATCATCAGCTCTTTGGTTCCTACAGCGCAAATGTTTTATCAATTGTGAACTGTAAGCTCCATGAGCTTTCCGTAGATCTCGTGCCTTAATAAGTGTTTTGAAAGTTTCAAATCTGTTGATTTTTTTTTTTGTGTGTAATTAATGACTTGTTTGCATTGAGAAGTATTTTACTGACTTTAACAACTTCTTGTGTATATTAAGTTTGATCTTTTCTGTGGCTTGAGGAATTGGGGCGAGAATTAAACCCTAAAGCTACTTCTTTGTGCAGTACTAACTGTTTTAACACTGAAGTAGTAAGTATGTACAGATACAGGCTACAAATTATGGATGTCCACATGTATGTTTCAGTTTCTTCAGCCATATATTTGGAGCTGTTATGTTGATGATAATCATTAAAAAGCCAACTATGAGAGAATACTGATCCACCAACTGATCCTATGACCAGCCTGTTAACTTGGTATGTGAGAAATTCTCTGCAATGTCTGCAAACTTTTACCCTGTCATTAAATTAATGTTCTGTCTTTTACTGAAGTTTAGCCTCATGACCGAAATTCATGCATACATGCGTGTGATATCTTTTATATTTTAAATCATTTCATTCGGCAGTATTAAAATAATTTCACAAAATTTGGTACAGATGATTCTGTTCCAAAGATCTTGGGAGGATTATGAGATTCATTGCTTAAGAGGGAGATGTATAATTTTCTGATGGCTTTTTTGTGATGTAATTAGATGAGTATAAATGACCTCTGCAAAATTGGGAAAAAAAAACTCGTTGGATATTTCTTTTGCATATATTCTCGAGTAAAACACTTCACTGAATATAAAACAATAGATATTAAAATTGAGAAGGAAAACGTGAAAAAGAATGGTAGATGGAGCTGGGTGTGGGTACTCTTGGGAAGAGCTGAAGTTCACCACCTTCTGACCCAACATGGTGAGCGTACAGTACTGTGTTTGTAGCGGGATTCCTCGTAAACGAACACCGAATACCGTTGGGAGCTGTACCCATTATGTCTCACATGGCTTTGAACATTGATGGAGACTGATTGGTAAATATTTGACATACTGTATTTTAAAAAGAGTACTACTGTACAGTAAAGCTAAATACGTACACCAATATTTCCAAATGTGGTAATGTAAAATTTTACTCTAATGGTCTTTACAGATCCAAATATGAACACACCCACACTCCCCAATATACTGTACACTACACGGACTCTTGCACAACATCCAACAAACCTGATGATATATCTTAGCATATTCTGACCACTTTGATGACTGCACCCTTCTTGTACACTGACATGTACTTCTCTTGACACAGTACAGGTAGTTCTGCTATAACGCAATAATTGTGTTCTTGTAAAATATCGTGTTATAGAAAATCGCGTACAGTAATAGAAATAACAGGGCTTATGGAGAAAATAGGGTTAGGTGCAGATTACTCGAAATCGAAAAAATTTAGTAGTTAGCCTAACACAAAGGATAGCACAGTCTAAATAAATGTTACATTCATATCTAATAATGAAATCATACAGTAAATTTAACACTTTACCTTGAAAAAATATGAATGTAACTTGATGGGGGAGAAGGGGGATTTTGAGGTTGATCACATCAAGCGTCTCTTCAAGTGTTATATCCTTTCTTTTACGATAATCACCGGGAATTCTATCATCAGAATGCTTTTTGGAGATATTCTTCTTTACCATATTCACAGTTAATACCACAAAATTGGAGAAATAGTAAGCAAAAATCGCGTTATAGCAAACAAGCGATCGCGTTATACAAATATTGTTCCGAATTCATAAATCGCGTTAGAGCAAATTCGCGTTATCAAAACACGCGTTATAGCAGAACTCACTGTACACACCCAAGTATCTTAACCCACTCAGAGTACATCTGTTCCACTCAGTAAGATAAGTTAGAGCCTTAGATCAAATGTCATTGTTGAAGCATATATTTTCATGCAGATTTTTAAGGCATTTATTATTGCATTTGTGAAGACCAGGAAGAAATGTGAGTACAGTATATAAGAAAGGACTCCTGAGTGGCATAAAGCATAATGTTATATGAAACTTCCATTCCATTTGTATTTTTCCTATTTTTCATGTGTAATTACTTATATTTATATATTTGTGTGTTTTGTGATTGTTGTTGGTTTTCAGGTTTTTTATTTTTATTTTATTTTTTTAGGTGAATTTTTGTATCAGTATGTGTGACAAATATTTGGATAAATTTGTGTTACTTCATTATGGCTTGTGATACAATTTCTTGGAAGGAATTATTGTATATCTGATGGACTATACCAAAGCTCATTACTGTTGGAGTATTAATGTATTGTAGCTAGAAGTAGTTCATCAGATACTGTACATTAAACAAAAAAAAAGCCTAATGAAGGTATCTCAAGATTATTCATTTCAAATTCTGTCACATTTACAGTTTGTCCTTTGTGACATATATTATTGTAGAAAGGCAAGATGGATTTACCAACACACTTTGGGCTTGCTTGAACCTTATACTGGCCTGGAATACCTCAGAAATTGAGAGGACATTAGAGTTGCTTATCTGCTTTGTCCTTGTCCATGCTTCAGTGGGGAAATTTTAGTAAATTTAAGAATTGGAGGGAATATGACCTGGACCGTTGTGAGTAAATCCATCTTGTCGATTTTTCAGGATGATGTGGGGAGTCTAACCTCGTCCATATTAGCCCAGTGCCTCATCAAAGGAAACAGAGATCGCCCTCGGAAAAAAGCCAGGTCGTCCACAAAATCTTCAGGCTCCTCAAAAGACAAAGATTCAACTTCCAATGCCTCTCCCAAGGCTCCTAAGTCACCCAAGGCTTGGATGGACTGGTTTCTGGAGCAAAGTGGAGCAGAAGGCATCAAAGAAAATTTACAGGTTACTCCTAAGACCAGCAAGACAAAAGCTCGTAAGTCTGGTAAAGTGGCGGATGGCTCCAGGAAGAAACGCAAGAGCACGCCATGTGTTCGTAGAAAGATTGAGCACATCCTGAAACCAGAAGAGGTCACAGAAGATATGCTAAACCGTGTTGCTACTAAACCAAAAGAAAAAACTCACGACCAGGAAAACGGAACGTCTTGTCACCAGTGCCGACAGAAAACATCAGATACAAAGACCATATGTAGGTCTGGGAAGTGTGTGGGCTTAAGAGGGTTCTTCTGTGGCCCTTGCTTACGCACACGGTATGGCGAAGATGCTCGGAAAGCATTGCTCGATCCCGATTGGTGTTGTCCCGTCTGTAGAGGGATATGCAACTGTTCACTGTGTCGAAAGGCTTTTGGACAGCAAGCGGTTGGCCAGATTGTTCAGAGGCTGGGAAAAATGGGGTACAGCAGCGTGCAGCAGTATCTGGATTCAAAAAATAACAAAGGAGATGAAACAATGAGCCCAAATAAAACTGTCCCGGATAAACATTCTGAAATTGATAATGATGGTGATGACGAGAGCCAGGATAATGAAGACATGAAGGATGACAAAACTGATATAGTGGATGGGAATGATGAAGAGAGTCTTTTAGACACTTGACACTGATAGCTGAAATGTGAAGATAGATCTATATAAATTTAATTTTAAATAAGTGGAGTGGTGGATTTTTAAGGCCATGCCAAACTATCATAGTGAAATTTAAATTCTGTAGCAAAAGTTCTCAACAAATCATCCAACCTGGAAAGTTTGTGGTATTCCTGCATCATACTCATATCATACAGTTAGATGTTGAATATTAAGATGGTGGCTATTTGATAATTAGGACAGGGTAGTGTTTGATTTACAAAATAATACGAATTATAATATTTAGCTTTGCCAGTGCGTCAAGTTGGCAATGCTTATATCACTAGTACATATAAGCTGGTATATATCTTCCCTATTTTATAAGTAGCTTGTAGGTTAATTGTATATATTTTCATAGTTGAATCATTATCAAATCTATCGATGGGGTCCTTGTTATTCACTACTGTGAGGTGCTGCCCCCTTGTTGTCAACATTTGGCCTTCACCTGTTTGAAGTGTTAACATATGAATATTGTGATGTGGCATTCACCACCATTTTATAGCTGTGAAACATATATTACTTTTACTTACAAACAATTGAGAGCTAATTATATTATTATTATTCACCCATTAATACTTTATTTGACTGTAAAATAAGGTTTTAACCAACAATTGCATTCAACGATTACTGTAGAATATAATCTTAACTTTTAAAGGCTGATGATATATGGTATAGTACAGTACATCAAGTGGTGGCATCAGTTAGAGGGCAGCCCCCTCACTTCATAAATAATGGCCCTTTCTCTTGTTTCATTACTCAAGTGGTTACCATGTAGCTGTTTACTATTATTGACATGCATCTTTGCTACTGCTGCTTGCTTTGTTACTAGTCTGCTGTACAGAAAGGGGGAGGGAGAAATTTTTACTAGGTAATTCACCCTTTAATGGAACACATATGTGCCACCAAATGCCATAATGAAAACATGAAAATCAAATAATGCAAGTCAAATTTTTACATATCTTGGCAAGATACAGTCAAGAATTGGTGGCCTTCATTGGTTTTATTTCCTGTTTTATTGTTCTTGTTTCCTATTGTTGATGGTTA